AATAATAGAGTTATTCCCAGGTTCCAAGAAAGAATTTAAAACATAAATAACATGATCCCTTACTAAAACAAATACTAAAATGAAAGGGACGAGATAATTTAAGTTAGAAATGAAATGACCCCTATTTATATGTCTTTACTTCTTTTTGAAAATGTGCTAACTTGATTTAGGGTGGGTTTATTAATAAGGGCGGTAACTTGGCTAACATTGTTTCGGGTCCCTTTATTAATCATAGGTCAACATTAGATCTACTTTCGTATGCCTCTTATGCTAGAGTTTTCTAGAAAGATAACTTGACACAGATAGATAGACCTGGTCCTATATGTCCAATCCTCGGATGCTTTTCTGAAGGCTTTCTTGTCCACCCAGAAACTAGGTGGAGCCCTGTTTCATGGCCGGGGCTTGGGGAATCGCCCAAGCAGGATAACTGCCCAACCTTTGTCAAATCGTAGACCTGAGCAGATTTGCTAAAGGCAGACACCGTCAGCCTTCACCACGTTAAAGGTGAGGATCGGAGCAAAAGAGTTCGATGTGAGGGACGACCACTATGACTCCAAGCAATGGCTTGGAGCCTGGTTGGTAATGTTTTGGTGACTCTGAGTGATTGCTCCCAGCTGATCGAGACTCGATTCATGAGCGAACACTCTAGAATCTAGATTTCTTGCCTCCAAGGTCATCCCCTTTTTCATTTCCTTTTTGTTTTCAAAGGAGGGTGTGGGATGTAGAACGAACTGCTAGCCTCTATGGGTTGGATTGCAGCAGTGTTTGGCAGTCTTGATGTCCTTCCCAGCTCCAAGGTGGAACCGGTACGGCATCCAATGCTTGAACTTCTGTCAGGCCTCAGAGGGCGACAATACACCAGTGTTCGCAGGGCCGGTTCGAAAGGTTTGATGAGGCAAAAGGACAGCGCTTTCCTGTTTCAGCACCTTGAAGGAACATGAGAAAGTTTGCTGTTGAATAGCATCTCCAATTTGATTCTTTTCTTTGTCACGGCTGCCTCTGCAGATTGAAGACCTTCTGCTGGAAACCATGCCGGAGTCCAATACCGTGCAGCTGGGCATTCAGGCATGGTCAAGAACGGGGGGCAACATCGCCGCACCAGGGATCCTATAAGCTGTCATAAAAGGAGTTTAATATAGTTTGTTATGAGGTTGGAGGCCATCGCTACTAGAAACCAAAAAAAGTAAAAGGAAGAAAGGAAGGAAGGCCTGCTCTTTCTAAAGTAAAGTACGTTGCACACACTTCGATGCTCTCACACCTAGAGCTAGAGCACGAGCCCTTAACTGAGTCAACAGTAGACATATCTTTCTGATAGGAAACACGTGACAAATAAGATTTGGTTTCAAGACAAACACCATTCTCTACTGGTAGCATCTTGCTACTAGTAGCGATGCACCTTGCTACTAGTAGCTGAAGACATTAAGATGATGAATCGATCCTCCTGAGTTCGTCATATCTGGAAGGCATTTTGTATTTGCGTCACAGGGTGCAGTCAGCTGGTGTTGGTTGTGAAAGGACGTCCAGACCATGTGCTTTTTCTGTCTACTTGGGGTACGGCGTAAGGGTCCTCAAGTAGATTGCCTCCAAGTTTCCAAAGCTTCTGCAGTGACAGTGAAATAGATCAAAAGGTACATCCCCTCGTCATTTTGTTTGCTATGTTCCAGATATTTGTTTGAGAGTCAGAATCGACTAGGTCTCTTATCGAATGTCGGTAGGTCTTGGAGGTGATGAACAAGCCCTCGGAAGTTCAAGCCTCGGATCTAGTTCACTCACTTGCAGTAACTATCCACGTTCACTCGCTTGAGTCTCAGAGTGCTGTTCAGACTGTTCAAGTGTTATTTTGCTCTGGGTTTGCAGGAGCATTTTGTTTGCAAATCTACCAGGGTTGCACACAACCCCCCAGTGGGTCCATACAAGTCTGAAAACAAGTGTGGAAAAATGGTAAACTTTCGCTGAGCCCGCCCAAAAGAGCACAAGGATTTCGTTCTGTAACAAGGCTTAGCACTTGGCACTTGGCCTCTTTGCAACCTACATATATGCTGGACCAGGCTGAGCAGACACCATTCACCGGCTTTGTTGACGATGGCAAACAGGCCCTGTTCAACGGTCAGTCGAGCGGTGAGGTGTCGAGGGGCCTCTATGGCCTCAAGACTCTCGTAGAACTTTTCATCTACAAAGAGAGAGGATACTGTATACCGTATACCTGTTGGTTGGTTCCTGCATACAAGCTTTTGTAGCGCCCAACGTCATGGTGGCTCCTCCAAATATCCAAGCCATCACCGATGCAAGGCGGAGGCCAAGCCCCTGGTGCTCCACAGCCTTCGTCCAGGCACTGCTCCTCAGCCAGATCCTGAGCTGATGAGATGCCAGTCGCAGGAGTATAACAGTATAACAGTTAACATGTAGTCGCAACCCCCACCACGCTTGACTAGATACTGTACCTGTTACATCCTGTGATACCCTCACCCTGAAACAAGAGACTGTCGAAGGTACCAGAATGCTAAACTGAGAACACCCGTGCTTTGCGAAAGGAAAAGGCGGCTTCGCTATGAATGCGTGACTTACGAAGCAAAACGGATTTGTTCGTCTAGTCTGCAAACATCCTAGACTGTAGAACAGTGAGGGATCAGCCCAGGAAGAGAACAAAGGTTACTCGATCGGGTGAGGGCAACTATTGTAATAGCGGTTCGCCATTTTGACCAATGCTGATATGACAAGATGAGGCTTGTGCCTCTTCCGCTTGGCAAACATGTGTCGTCAAGCGACACTGTCGCCTTGACTTGAGGCGTCAAGCAGAGCCACGGCGGCCCTCAGTGGCCCAGGCAGGAATGGTTGCAAGAGTATGCTGAGGTCACTGCTGATGACCTCTCATGGTAGGATCATTGATGATCATTGTGAATATTGCGAATCTCAAGTCGTAAGTTTGATATATTTCATAGTGGGATGAATAACCAGCGGACTCAGGTTCCTGCCCGTCTCCCTGTGAGGTGCCAGGACCCCCACCAGCAGCTACACCAGCAGCAGCAGCTGCACCAGCAGCATTCAGGCTCGGGCAGAAGCCTTTCCAAACGGAGGGAATCGTTCTCCGTGGGGCCTAGCCACGAGAGAGAGAGAGAGAGCGAGAGAACGAACAATCTAGAGGACCTATACAATCAAATTGAAGCAACGGAGTAACACATGTTATTTGCTTCCATACATGTCGCATGCGATGTTAACATTTCTTTTGATTGATATTTCTGTTGCTGATTTGAACACGCATGAATCAAAACGCTAATTCATGCCTCGACATCCACGCAGGGAACCATCCAAGTCCCAGCTACCAAAGCCGGTCCTCGTCTTGGGATTCGATACTTCTGACAGAAGTTGTTGTATTCCTCCGGTGTTTTTTGTGCTTCAATGGCTCGTCTAAGGCGGCCCATGCAGTTGCTGCAGGGACTGCCTCCGCTGCTGCAGCAGCTGCAGCCTTCGCAGATGCCTCAAACTGGTAGCTGATTTGAAAACTCGTTTGAGTTGAAGAATGCAATATCACGCGATGTACACCCAGACAAGAGTTCCATCTCAGGCTCATGTAGGCTTATCAATAAAATCAAAGCACAGATTGTCCTTAGACTCCTCAGATGTGTTGAGACAAGCACGCTCATTGCTCCAAGAGTTCAAGAGTTCAAGAGTCCAACTTCTTGCAAGGCCCAGCACCATCAGAATAACCGGTACGAATCAAATTAATCATATGGTTTCACTTTCATTTCTAGTGGATGATTGGACAGAATCAACCCTTCTTCTAATGAATGAACCATTTAGATTCACCCTGTCGCCCAGGCCGCTGTCAAGAGTGGGAACTTGCCCCCGGCAGTCGCCGTGAGCAGAGGTTTGCACAGGTGGGGTGTTTCGTGCCTGCTGTCAGAGTCACGACCCTTTTTGTTTCTAATAGCGGTGGCCTCCAACCTGCTGTCATTGAGCGTGCTTTGGAATTTCATTGTCGGACGTGTTCTGACCCCTTGACAATTGACAGTGCACGGACATCTGAATCAATTGTGTCAATGAAAGCTTTTGCTGCTCAGTGTTGGCTCTGTTGAAGTTTTCAAAGGTTGCATTTTTCTGCAACCTATGTAACCTATGTATGATTTGGAGCATGCAATTGCAGGCAACGCAGCCTGGGTGCAATGAGATCAAATAAAGTGACTTGAGAGATCAAATAAAGTGGCTTCTTGGCTTCTCGACGTGGAGCGTCCAAACAGAGATTGTTTGTCGAGTCTATACAGTCAACACATTGGCTTCGTCACATTGATGCTTTTGCCATGCATTCCACTTCTTTGAAGCCTCCTGCGAATGCTGAGTAACTCACACTCGCAGCAGCATGGTTGCAGCGAATTGTTTCACTAGGGGAGGATTCTGCCCGGATGCTTGCAGAGCCGCAGAAATGCATCCACTGAACACTCAGAACGACTTGCTCCCCGGCAAGCACGAAACATCGCAGTCCTTCTCCTGCGCGCTTTCCCGCGCAAGTTGGGCTACAAAGGTTTGGCTCACCGTTGGCCCGGACCTGCAGAATGGCTCAGGTGAAGGCCCATTGAAGCAAAAGGATACAAAAGGCAGATAGAGGTTTTGATTGACCCTGGCTTGATGGCAGGAGCAGAGAGAATTCAAAAGGGAAGAAGCATCATTATCATTTCAGAAGATTAGAACACTATAATCTATAATATAAGACTCTTTAAGGGGCCCTGGTCGACCCATTTTGGCTTTGTCATGTATTTGCATATTCCATATCCTCATGCTCTCTATTCTTGCACTGAGTTTTGCATGGGCTTTGCCAGGCCATCTCGGCTCAAACACTAGGAGTCGGTAGTGGTGGCTTTTTGCTCTGTCGGCACAGCTCTTGGACAGTCAACTGGAAAGGAGGTTTAGAATGGTTTAGATATACCTTGAATCTTACACCTTTAAAACGTGGCTTGCTTCGAGTCCTTTGTGGTATGAGCTGATTCGGCCTATGTGCACAGGTGAAGATGCTGAGGGGCCTTAAGAATACGTAAGTGCCCCAGAGATTGCCGGCAGTAATGTGCCTCCACTCGAGAGATCTTGATTGAGAGTCGATAGAACCTCCTGTTCTTTGCTCAGCCAGGGTGCAGAATTCGAAACAGGGGCTCCGGCGTTGCTGAGGTTGTCCAGATCGGGCACTGGCAATGGCTATGCTGCTGGAAGCGGAGCGCAAGGAGCCTCCGTCATCAATGCCAAGGTACCTGCCAACGCAAAAGAATGGACAAACAATAGGCATTGAGTTTTGTGGGACGTGACCCAGTGACGACTGACTACTCCGTTATTCTATGTTATTCTAATTACATATTTTTTGAAGGATGCCTTGACAATATGAAGGGTTTTGTGCTGGCTGAGGATAGCTTGTTGAGTTTTTTTGGGATTTACGTTTCCCATGTCTGACAAAGCTGGCAGTTATCATGAGCGGGCTCTAGAATGACTCTAGACCTCATGTTGAGATCTCCTCTGAGGCTGAGGGCAACGAGACTGCCCTTGCCAAGACAGAGAACTCCAGGAGTTTCGTTTGAACATCTGTGAATGGCTTGGTAAGATTAGTATAGATTAGGAGTTCATTTTTAAAACAAACACATTCTTTTTGGGCCAAGTCCAAGGCCGAAAAGATGAGCGCCCACAGATCGAACAAACAGATTATCGCTGACAATCATAGGATCTGTACTATCAACAACCCTGTGCTTGAGAGGACAGATGCAGACGCCACCGGGAAGGAGATTGAGGCCTTTGGGAATGTTGAAGGATCAAAATGAAAGCTTGAAAGACTTCAGTCGACCCATGCCGACATAGGCCCTACCTTGGGAAATTATTTCAAGATGGGAGTGACTTAGTGAAATATTTTTTTATTGAAATAAGTATACAACTAAACGTATTATTCCAAAACCAATCTAGGTGGTGCTAGCAACAAGATAGGTGGTGCAGCATGTGATCCAAGATATTCCGAGTTGTGGTGGTGGGTCCGCACCTAGGTGGTCTCATCTCAGATCTATGTTGGACATTTTATTTTGCACACAGTCTCTCAGTCCATAATTTCATGCGGTTAACTTCAACCAGTAGAATTATATGACTGAGGTGGGTGGTACGGTGGGTGGTTCCATGGTAGGGCGTATACGTCGATCCTAGTTGAATTCCCCAATATATATTTGCGCTCACCTTCAGAAGCACTGAGACGCTCAGCTTTGCACAACATTCACAACCAGGTTTCCTCCTCTCTTTCTTGGAGCTTCGAGGACTGAAGTCCATCATTTTGGGTGGATGTGCAAAGGCAATAAAAGGCACACCATTCCCTTTGACTTTTTTCCAGCAGGAGCAGTGGACGTATGTCGAATCCTTGGGAGTGTGCAAGTTGCCTGGGGAGGACGTGGCACCGGAAGTTGTGCAACGGGTCGTTTTCAGCCGTTTTGTAGCTATCGTGTGCCATGATGGCCTGTTCAAAGCTGCAAGCCCATCCGAAGCTAACGTGCTTAGTGCACTTGATTTTGTTTGCGGAGTATGAATTTGCTTTCCAATCTTTGCAATCGATGTATCAGATGTTGATTTTGCCCTTCGGAACTTCGGGCCACTCCCTTCTGCAGAATCGGATGTGGATCAATGGCCAGTGACCCTCGAGCGTGCCATGCGCACTGGTAAAGAGCCGCTCTCGCATGACACCAGCAATGTGAACGCGGGCTGCACCATGATGTTGCCATCTTTTAGCATCTTACCTGGTGAGTTTGTCGACAAATTTCGGCAATATCAAACCCTATCTTTCAAACCCGGATGGATGTTCGGTTTTTGTTTATCTTGTTTCAATGTCCCGCGCATGCCTGGATAAATTAGCAGGGACGGGACGACATAGGACGAGGCACGGATGACTTAGGCTTTAGGCCCTGAAGTCACATAAGACTTGTGGCATGTCGGCTTTTGCATGAACCATCCAAGCTCCTGCGATCGGATTGGATGCTTCGGATGCTTCGGATGGCAGGAGCACATTTTGCGCTTTTTGGCTGATAGCCTCACCGCCTCACCCCTACCGGCCCCGTGGGCTGGGCCCTCGGAGTAGATCGGACCTGAAAGTGCGCCGACGGACTTATTCTGGAGAGGTGAGGGGGAATCGTTTCAGTGGCTCAATTCTCTCAAAGGAATTGGACAGACAACGTTTGGATGCACAACATCCCTTTGTGTCCCATAGCACCACCTGCCGGACCTGCCAGAGCTCTTTCTTCTTCGCAAAGGCGATGCACCGGGATGAAGAAGGCAAGGTCTTTTACGGCAACACCACCACTGGGGAGACCAGATGGGAGCATCCACTCGAGGCGAGGCGGCCGGTTTCGTTGGCACATGGAGCGATTGCAGTTTGACCGCTGAAGAGATGGAAAGAGTACTTCAAGAGGCTAATTAATTTTTTGGTTTGGAGGTGTGGAGCGCTTTCTGTAGGTAAGCAAATCCGAGAAGTGTGCAGCTTGAGGGTGGGTTTTAACAAGCAATGCTATATCAAGCAATAGTGACACTCCAAATCACTCCAATATGTTCTAACAAAAGTGGTATAGATACACCAACCTTCAAAATTGAACACACTTATAGTGCCATTAGGATGTCTGTGCAACACGGTACTACACATGAATTGACAAACAACCATCCATCCGACAGGATGTGGTCCGCGAACTTGCTGGTGTCTGCAGAGCTACTGAGCCGAAGAACTGGAGAACCCCGGGAACTGTCACTGCGATGACTTCCACGATGGAAACCTTCAATGGGTTTTGCGACGAACATTGGAGCGTACTTGCACCCATGTTGACGGAACCAAGCAACGTTCTTGGCCGGATGTGACAGTGTTTTTGATTTGTTTGTCAGGTTTGCGTGTCCCTCTCACGGGCAATGAGAGAACGCTCAATTGCTGACTTGCGAGAGACATGGGAGGTTCTGACTGAAGCACATTCACAGCATCCAGATCAGATAATAGACTGCCAGATAGAACAACACACAACGGAGAATCTAAATGCTGCACACAATCATATACTGTAATCCTAGCGTTGGTGCTGCGTTTGGTGTTTTGCTGCATAATTAGTGAGCAGTCGGTGTATTTGAATAACTTGTCTTCCACTAAGTCACTAGGTCCTCATGAGCTCATTGCTGGCTTTTCAGGGTAATGTGCTTAGCGAATGTGGTTTCGCAATGCAACCGTTTGGTCAGGGCCATGCAAAAGAGGAGTTTGCTCAGTGGTACAGCGTGAAAGACTCTTCAACCAGCAAAGAGCATCTTGGCTGCCTTCCACAGCGTCCCTGGACAAATATGGGGGTTGTGCTTTGGAATAATTACTTATACTGTATATATATATATGTATAGATTCTCGATGATTCTCGAGGTAAAACCCTAGTATTTCCATCCTTCTACTTTTCATTTTTACATCTCCCTTTTCCTTGTTCTTTTCGTTTTCCTGTGCCCTTTCCTCTCCTGTGAGAGAGTAACACGAGCAATGCGACCATGAAAAAGTAAATAAATAAGCAAAATCCAGACGTCTGAAGCCTGTTGTTGGCACCGATCTCCCATGTTGGTGGCAGAGCACAGCGCACAAGCCCGCCGAGTTACTACTGCAACTCCCTCACGGGCCAGGCGCTGATCCATGGCACCCTGCATTTTGCTAAGTGGGCTAATCGCCAAAGTTATATCCGCATGCGTACAAGCTACTATATTCTGGCCAGCTGAGCCAAAAGTTTTGGATCCAGATGAGAAACCGGCATGGCCCCAAATTGAAGCATCTCCAAAATTTTATCCAGCTGAACTCTTGAGCCCACTCCCAATCCAGGGCTCTTTCAACGGATAAAGGAGTTAAGGAGCGCAGTATTCTGGTAATGATACGTGCCAGACAATGTGGGAACATCCTGCAGAAGTTCTGCTGCCGGCGTGATGCTCAGCAGTAGAGTAGCAGAATTCTTGTTCCTAGTAGGGATGTCAGGAGCCCCTAGTAGCTTCTTGTTCCTAGTAGCGATGCCAGGAGCCCACATGAGTGTTCGGACGGTTCGACTTCGTTTGTTTTGTTCACCAACATGTGAACATGCCATGGCTGCGATGAGAAGACTCGGACGCTGAGGGCCACTTCCTGAAGCTGAAAAGTGCCGACAGGCGGGGCCGATATCTGAGATCCGACATCTCTAAGGGGCTCATTAAGCCCTTAAAGCTTTTGCCTTCCTTTCTTGCCTCTAGGGGAACTTCTCTAGAGTTGGGATCGGTTATGCCCAGTAGGATCTAACAAGGTGAGGGCGATGCTCTTGGGTTTTGGTGCGAGTGCTACACAGAGGTGGGAGCATGTATAGCATATATATATATATAGGTATGTATATATATATATATCATATATATGTATATATATTTACCAGGCTACCGCCTGCAGCCGCCGACCCCTAAGGGATAGAACCTTAGCGCTAGCCTTGCTCTATGTTAGCCTTAGCCTTAAGCCTTAGCCTTAGCCTGGCCTAGCCTTAGCCATAGCCTTAGCCTTAGCCTTAGACTTAGACTCAGACCTGACTTTTTTACCTTTCCGGACCCGGGGTTTGTTGTAAAAGGGAGTTGTAGGATTTCCCAGGTATGCGTAGAAAATTGCGAACCTATTTTCTTCCATTGTTGTAGAATTTTCTAGGACTTCCTCTTGTATTTAGGTTCCCAGATTTCACAAAAGATGATTAATCTATTGTTAACCTATTTGATTCTAGTGTTCCCGGCAAATGCCCTGGAATTTTCCTAGGAATGCTCTAGGCTTTGTTTAGATTTTGCGCTGGACGAGGTCCGGCCAGTGCCCGTGGTAACGTGAAAGGCTCTGGTAAGATTTTCGCATGCCTGTCAGGCGCCCGTGTCCGCGCCATGTGGCGTGTTGGTTCTAGGACGGAGCAGCGCAAACGGAAGCTTGGGCAGGTGGTGGCGAGGTTCTCGCGCCAGCGAGGGAAGAGACCGTAGCCATGTACATGCGGGTGGACTTCTGCTGAACCATTACCACCAAAGCAGGTACCCAAAAAGTCGACTCAGCGCCCGGACTTGTGCTGAATCGATCGGTTTCTCGCGATGACCCAACCCATCCTCACCAAAGCAGGTACCCAAAAAGTCGACTTTTTGGGTACCTCCCAGATTTACCATCGGACGTTATCGCTTGCATGAACCCCGTGATGCTGAACCCTTCTCCCCATAAAGGATATCATTGCCTAAGAGTCCAGAAACCATCACCACAGCAGGTACCCAAAAAGTCGACTTTTTGGGTACCTCCTAGATTTACCATACGTGATCTCTTGCATGAACGCAGGTACCCAAAAAGTCGACTTTTTGGGTACCTCCCAGATTTACCATCGGACATCATTGCCACAGAGTTCAGACCCATCACCACCACAGCAGCTACCCAAAAAGTCGACTTTTTGGGTACCTCCCAGATTTACCATACGTGATCTCTTGCATGAACGCAGGTACCCAAAAAGTCGACTTTGTGGGTACCTCCCAGATTTACCCTCGGACGTCATCGCTTGCATGAACCTCGTGATGCTGAACCCTTCTTCCCATAAAGGATATCATTGCCCAAGAGTTCAGACCCATCACCACCACAGCAGGTACCCAAAAAGTCGACCAGAGTTACCGTGCGGGATCTCTTGCATGAACGCAGGTACCCAAACAGTCGACTTTTTGGGTACCTCCCAGATTTACCATACGTGATCTCTTGCATGAACCCCGCGGTGATGACGATGCGAGCCCAGGACCATTTTGGACCGTGCTTATTTTCCCGCGCAGGTCGAGACAAGAGGACATGCAAGAAAATGTTTGGAAAAGCACCTCCTAACATCTAGTCGAAAACGTCACAAAATTTAAGTGCGGCCAAGAGTATTCCTAGGAAAAATCAAGGGCATTGGCCGGGAACTAGCAAAAGGTTACCAATTTTGAGGGGAAATCTGGGATGCTACAAAAGCCTTTGAAAGTTCCATAGGTTAGCAGGGAGAAATCTGGGAACCTAAAAACCAGAAGAAACGCTAGCCGAAAACATAACAAAATCTAGACAAAGCCTACAGCATTCCTAGGAAAATGCCAGAAAAGCCTTTGAAAATCTCATAAACCAACATAAAACGTGACAAAATCTACGAAAAAGCAAGGGCATTGGCCGGGACCATGCCGCGACCAGCCCGGGATTCGAGCCCAGGACCATTTTGGACCGTGCTTATTTTCCCGCGCGGGTCGAGAGGGTGCCCCAAGATGTAAATCAATTGGGATGGCAGAATCTTGGACAATTCCCGGGTCGCTCAGGTAGCTTTCAGGTCGGGATTTTCGTCACTGCAACAAGGGTCCGGAGGGGTAGGGGAGGTAAGGTCTAGGTCTAGGTCTAAGGCTAAGGACTAGGTCTAAGGTCTAAGGCTAAGGCTAAGGCTTAAGGCTAAGGCTAACATCGACAGTCACGCCTCACCCCACGGTGTGGGGTCGGCGGATATATTTTTTTTCGGAGCAGCAAAGACAGGTGACGAGTGACGAGTGTCAAGGGAAAGCAGCTGTTTGCATCCGGGCCAATGTCTCAACAGCGTGGATGGGCAACACATCATTTTGTATTTCTACGCACTATGCAAACCCTGAAACATCATTAACCCCACTAAGATGAAACACCACAATGGTGCCAAACCATGAAATCTGGTTCCACATAGATGTGTGTTTTTGTGGCCCACGCTTGCCGAAGGCTTTTAGATGAAGCCTACCTCCAAGACCTTGCGTCCCTTGGCACTGGCCTTAAGTCAGACACCTGTAATTCGAGAACATGCGGTTAAAAAAGTCTTTTGTTTTCCATTCAATTCTGTAATTTTTTTTCTTTAGACCTTCAGACTATTTGCGAGTCGCAAGGAATGTTTTGATCAAAAGATTTGTCAATTATAGATTGGAGAAGGGAATTCTTCCACGTTATGACATTCGTCCATGTTCTATATAGTGTGACCTGAAGCTTGCCAAGTAAAACTTGAATGCCCTCGATTGCGGCTGACGGCAATAGGAAGCACCCTCAATGCGAGCACCGGAAGAAGTTGGAACTTAATGAAGCGCACGCCCTGAGCTCAGTGATTGGTCGGTGCTTAGACCGGTCTCTCCCCGGGTCGTCCGATTGCCCATGCAACAGAGTTTTGTAGTGTTCTGTAGAGCCCCCATCAAGCAAGGTTCAAGGCCGGTGCAAGATTTTGTTCAAGGGTTCTCAAGTTCAAGGCACTACACAAATTTCGTTACTACCTTTTGTTTTGTGGAGTTAAGCTGAAACTAAGTGATGCTTGAACAATTATTAGCTTCGATAAATTATTATATAGGCAAGACAAGAACCACAGCAACATTTCAAGCAAGGTTGATACAAGCGACTCGCAAGTAAAAGACAAGCATCAATGCATGTAGAGCGGGACAAACTCAAGGTTTGGCAAGTGATACTGCAACGCATTCTTCCACCGGCCAAGCCAAAGGGTTCTGTGGAGGAGGGTGCTCTTGACATTGTGCACGCAGTTGCACAGAGTACAGCACGAACATATTCAGAGGCCATATCTTTTTAAAACCGAATCTGCAGTTTTTCTTTCTTCATGCAAGAGCGGCACAACATGTGTCGAGGGCCGGCGCCAAGAGAGGTTTTCCTGAAAAGGTCTTTTTCCTGAAAGGAGTTTTTTTACCAACAAAATACACCAACAATGGAGAGGAAAGAACATCACAAGGAATCACAAGGGCCCTTATTAAAACCCTTATGAAAGTGCCCTTACCTATCGTCATTTTCTGTCTCATTGTTTGCGGGAATGGACCGCCACTTGCAATTTGGTCTCGTCTAAGGCTCGAGTCCAATGCTTCCGCATCCACGGAGGCGTGTTTGGCCGTTCGTTTTGTCACGTTTTGGGGGAAAACTGGCAACACGGTTGTGACACAATATATAGTAGTTCGCTTCGCTTTGTGAACCTCGAAATCAGTGAGGACATGTGACCTTGCCCAAGTCGATTTTTATTCAAGGAAGATTCAAAGAGTTGAGAATCGGCCAAGCTTGCGATTTTTATCCGTTTACAGCAGGATCGGCTGCGCGTTTTCTTGAACTTGAGAAGACATCATTGTCACCGGTTCTAGTTGTACTTAGTAGCAAAGACGCTTTGTGTCACTTCATGTCACTTCCGTAAAAGGGTCACACCGAGGCTGTTTGGATCCGTTCTTTTGTTGTCGTGGCTCGGGTGGTAGAAGAGGATGACGTTGATCACCCACAACCTCAGGCTTTGCATGTAGACATTTGACATGAAAGCTACTCATACTAGAACTGTGTGCTTTGCTACAATCGTCAGGCCGGGTTGAATGAGGAGTCGGCGAAGGCCATAAAGGAAGAATTGGCGACTTGTCATTCACAGAGCATCAGAGGGACCTGGATTGAAGTCAGTGGCTAGTGTGCACACGTTTGGAGCTGCTGAGTGAGAGATTTGTCACAAGGGGTTCTCGGGGGAATAGCTTTCCGTATTTGTCATTTAGCCAATACTTGCATTGCAATCTTTGCCAATCTGTAGCTGTGTGTCATCCGGTGTTTCGACTTTTGGATACTTTTGGTGTGTTATTGCCCCGGAGATGTTTCTGTTAAGGCCATGAGGAACTTGGAGCTGCAAGCAGCACGAGAGAATGAGAAAAAGGCTTGGTGGCGGTTGAAACGTTCCGATCTGTGGGGCATTGACAGTCAGATTGATTCAGTTCCATTGGTCACCCCGGCTCCTACACTACGCCACCGCGCAGGTCAAGGCTGACTTTGACGCCCTTGTCGCACGATTTGAGGAGCACAAAAAGCAGCTCAGCCAAGAGAATATTATATATTACATGATGTGAGCTGTGTCTCTCTCTCAATCGGCTGCAAGTAGTACTTGCTTTATGTAACAAACACTAAACAGCTGAACATTTGGAGGATAAAATAAGCCCATGATTTGTCGACACGTGTACCGGCCAAATCTGGGTACTGATAAGACACCAGATATCCACCAGGACAAACTTCTGCGGATTCAGCGGTGGGTAAGCTACCCACAACAAGTTGTTTAAATCCTTCCACAACTTTGGTGACGCTTTAAGCTCGCGAACCGCTCTCTGAAACAGGTCCATGTCTGAATCATCCAGCAGGCGCAAAGAACTTGAGGCGCATGCGGTTAAACTGACATCCTGCTTGCTCTACAAAAGGCTTATCAAGTACAACCTTGCAGATGAGGTCCAACAGCGAACGTTGCAGGTGGTGCTTGTATACATGGCCTCCTGCCTGTCAGGCTGAGCTCTTGCAGGAGCAACAAAGATTAGCTTCTGCATGTGGCCAAGACAGATTGATGAAAAGTGCACAGCAAGTTGGAGAGACTGTCTGGAAGGAAGAATAACATATGTACCTGCCATGGTTTCCATGTGTTGGGCACAGGTTCCATGTCTTAGGGACAGGATCTTTGCATCAGAGAGGATCTATTTCTGAGAAGGTTTGACACTGATAGCTGGCTGCATAAACTGGAGAGGACAATTTGAGTATTGTCACCCACCCCCACCTTGGACGTATAGCTCCGCAGTTGGCAACTTCCAACAATCACGGACGAAGAGTGCCGATTTCCCGAGGCCTTGTCAGAGTGTGAAGCCTGGAAAAAGCAGGCGGATGCTGTTTTGGTAGTCCTAGTGAGGCTTACTTCAGGCATCGGAGAGATTCCAATCCCTGTTGGGACATACTGAAAGCTGCCGCACCAAAGCCTATGCAACACTGCTATCTGATCCATCTGAGGATTTATTTTGAATCTATTGAAACTAAAGATTTTGTTGGTTCAAGGTGGGGCTGCTGGGCGAGAACCTACCTAGAGCCTAGAGTGTTTCCTTTTTTGTTTTTAAAACAACACCAACGACCTTCGAGCCACAGGCTCAAATCTCCACAGTTTGGACAATTCTTTCTGTGAAGGTCACCACAGTCGCAATTGCCCGTCAGACGCGTCGAATCTTTCATAGGCGACCAGCAAAGACTCTGCTGGTGCGGAAGCGATGCAAGAAAGGATTGCCTTGCAGGAGGGCTGGGCTTTGGAGCATTTGCGAGACGTGTGGGGTGCTCCTTTGTTCTGGCATCCTCCATCACAGTGTGGGGTAAAGTTAAGTGACCTTTTGAAGTTTTTATTCTTTTCTGCCTCAGCAGGAAGCTGTAGGGCACTCTTCTCATCGACGACATCTTTGCTAGAAGATACTGTTGGGTTGCACGGAGGTTGAACTGGATGCACAACGACAGCGAGCAACAGAGGCTTCGGGGGGCTGGAGCAATGCTTCAGCGGATTTCGTGTCGAGGGGCTGAGAATGGGCGTGTGGGAACCGAAGGAGCGAGCGACTCAGCAGGAAGCACTTGTTCCTAATAGCTTCTTGTTACTACTAGTAAGGCACTTGTTACTAGAAGCGATGCACTTTG